TTGAACGTACTCTGGTGTAAAGACATGGATCCAAGAGTAATCCAAAAAAAAGCGAATGCGTTATATGTTTATGGTGGCGTTTCTTTCTTTTTTTTTTGTTGGAGTTACAGTAACTTCGATGACTATAAGGAAAGTGTGAAGGGTGCGTATATGTTTATAGCCCAAACAATGAATTCATTCAATTAGAGATGGCGTTATGAAAAATTCGTCGATTATATATGACAATTGGGGGGCTTGTAAAACCTGAAATCGGGAGTGACAATCACAAATTAAACACAGTGCTTTGACCGCAAATCCACCTTTTCATTGGCTGGCGCGAGCAGTGCGGATTAAATAAGCAAATTAATATGACACAAGAAAAAAATTTTTTTCTTTAAAATACGAGTATAGAAATTTCGCATCAAACTTTTTAAAGAATCCAAATAGAAGCTTGAGAGAAACCTGGTTTCAAATGAAACCAGTTGCTTGGGTAAGAAAGCAGTTTTAATTATTAAATACAGTAAATACAGTAGGAGCCAACAATAACTCATGTCAAAATGCTCCAAAGTCTTGAAGAGACGTGTTACGACAAATTTTTTATGTTATGATCTTTTATCAATCTCTCTTTTTCATTTAAACGTTTATTTGAACATGGAAGTTTATATGTGTGTATGTTAGAATAGTTAAAATAACCCCCGAATAAAATACAAGTAGATAATAATACCCTCTGACAATTTTGGATAAATTGTATTATAAATCAAATATTATTATTACACTACTTTATGGTTGTACATTATCTATGGTTGTACATTATCTGCAATATACCTGACTCCGTTTTAATAAAAAAAAAACCACGAGACATGTAACAGAGACTGTCACAAGACCGAAGATCGCGTAATTGAATTCGGTGAAGGAAAAAACACGTGTATTTACAGTATATTTATATAAAAAATTTTGTTTCTTATGTTTCAAACATAAGAGATTTTTTTATTCAATCCCCACCATCTCACATGACCCCAGCCAAAAATCCGAGTCACAGGTCATTTGCAAAATAAAACCTGACGTTAATAATATCCGCCAAATAAAATTCTCAAATCATAATCATAAATAAATAAAATCATTCGTAAAAAAGAATATAAAATTACAATGTAGTTAATATATATACATCCTTCAATAAAAAAAATGGAATAAATAAAGTAGATTTTCATCTACACCGTTATTGATGAAAATCGAAACTTGCAATTGTCATCAACGCCGTCCGTCACGCGGAATCAAGAGTGTTCTTGATTTCAAGTCGTCAATCCCACACGCAAAAGATTTAAGTACAAATAATATTACAAAGACGGATAATGAACAGAACCAAGTTGTATTCGGCTCGAGGTCTCACATCAACCTTCTTTCAATCACGAGATACCAGTCGTATTGTTGTCGGCAGTTGTGTGATGTGAGAATGGATCGTGAAAACTTCTTCGAACACTGACGATGTGCGTGATTCCAAGTTTTTTTTTTTTTCTTTTCTTTTTCCTTCGTTTTTCTTTTTTTTCTTTTTTTTTTTCTTTTTTGTTAGTCTTATTCACAATTCGCTGACATCGAAGATCCCGTGCTTTTGTATTGTGGCCCATATCAACAATTTTATGATCGCTGGTATTTTCTTACGTTTCCTATTCTATTCCCATCAGAATATCTACAGTATAGTATTAATATATATATAAAAGTGCATGCTATAATATTATCTTGATATGTCCCGTCCTCTTTCCATTGTATTTTTTCCATTCTACAATCGACTTTTTCCATCTGTTTTTTTTTTTGCTCACGACTATCTTCGAAAATAATTCAATGATTGCTTCATTCCTTAATTGCTTGTTTTTCCAATTTTCCGTAGGTCCGACATGATTCTCTCTTCCTCTGTTAACCACCACTGATCAATCCTATTCGACTGATTGAGTGCCTCAAGTTCACCGAGTAAATTATTGTTCACTCCTCGCGTGTGGTTTCCTGAGTTTTGGTTGGAGGCGGCTGAGTTCTCTATTAAGAAGGGAAGAGAGGGCGAATGTTGGTCATGTTAGTAAATGGCCGTGTGCACGGACTAATTTCATAAAATAAAAGCCAAGTGTCTTTTACCTTTCATCACTTTTGGGCTAACAGCCCTTTTCAATTTTCGTACAATTTTTCTGAAAACCCTTACGGCTCCCATTTTCTTCAAGGGCGTGTATGTATTTCACGATAAAGGAAGTTAACACTCGAATGGACAGTCAAACGGTTCTTTTAAAAAAGATTGCCAACAAAACTTCGCAGATGCACCTAACAGACGAAGATGATGTTTGGGGGGAGAGTGGAAAAACGGAAAATGGGTAAATATAAAGAAGAAAAAAAAAAGATGAATGGGTGGATTTGATAGAATATCAATTCGGGAGTTTTGAATGTTTACGGGAACACCGAAAAAAAACCGTTGATGCACATTACTCGCTTTAATATTCAC